CGTCTTTTTCAGCTCGTAGTTTTTGGTATGTAAAAATTATCAAACTCATATAAACTTAAAAAATGTGATAAGCTTTTAAAAGTAGAGATTTCAAGCTTTAAAACCCTTTTTTTAAATTTGAATTTCATTCATTATTGACGAAGATATTGTATATACAACTTTGAGCTAAAAAATACGCGATGACTTTTTACTTAACCTAATATATATTTTTTTGAATAATATTTCTGTATTAAAAGTATCTATAGTATTATACTTCAAAATTGCATTAATTATATACAGCAAATCAAGGCGATTATGCTTATTAGAAGTTTGTCGCTATTTTTTCCTATGATTCTAAAAACATCATTCCATGCAATAGAATATGCTTCAATGTACTCGATTAATCCTTTAAAGTCCATCCACCGAGAAGTAGGTAACGGAAAAAGAGAAGGAGAAAGAGAATCAAAGTTTAAGACCGGCGCGTTTCACCTCGAGAATTCGGTACCTCTCTCGGTGCTGGTTAGCATATTCGAATGAGGCCCCGAACACCTCTTTTTCCCTAAACCGCCCGCCTCGGGCGCCGCAAGACCGCCCGAGGGTAAAACGACGATATATCGTGATTAAACGGCCGTTGATCTCCGCAGAACGATTAACGATCGTATCGTTGCCGGTCGCGTCTGCCACGATTTATTAGAGCACTTTCCCTCGTGCGTGAGAGTCGATACGCTCGCTGATTATAAATGATAGAACTGCAGGAGGGTCTGGACATGTCGCGCGCGACGTGCTTATTACGATGAAAGTACAAGCGTCTCCGTCCAAGTGGTCCATCCACCCTCTTCGTGGTTACACCCTGTTATAATTACCAGCTTGGCGAACCGCATTGCTATGATCGTTTCTTGGGCTCTTCCACGTGGGGAGATTCACACACTTCTCACCGACCGGATTCCTCGCGTTAGAGACGGCTGACTCGCGACATGACACCGCTCGAGACGATCGGCTTGGCTGAACGATACCGAGCGGAACCTCGCATGGGAACTGAGGACAGATCTCGACCCAGGGGCCCGTTTCTCCCTACCCGCTGCCACCACCACCTGTGCGACACCACCGCTCTTCATGAAGCTCCTCTCTAATATCGAAGACGGTGGAGCATAAGCACCTTTCTCCGAGGTGCCTCCTCGACACTCGCCTCGTTGGTGTTCGTGTCAGTTATACACGTAGACGCACATGTAGATGGGAACGGTAGGGGGGAAAAAGAGGAGATGTACGGTGTGGTATCTTCTTCGCATACACGACGACAACTTTCTTCAAATCCGCCCGACCACGCGATCGACCGTAGAGGGGACTATTATACTAAACGTCCTCACTTTTCCGCGACCTCCAAGGCCCATCGAAACTGAAACTCACCTTTCCTCCTCGTCTCAACGAAGAGTTATTCGGTGAAAGAACGTGAAGGATCTTAATGTCTGCAGACCGAAGGGGAGCGGTAGCGAATTACTTTCGCTACGGTACTAAGCTTCACTTAACTACAACTTCCTTGAGACAAGTGATTCTTTCTGATCTGTTCGATAATTCTTGTCTGCGAGAAAGGATATACAGGTCGATTCGGATGTCGCTCCAAATCGGTTGATAATTTCAGCTGGAACGCTCTTGCTCACGAACGATCATCTTGATGGATGTTTACAATTAAGGCGGCTGCAATTATAATATCATTAACATTTCTAGACTTTAATGTGAATCTTTCCTCTCTCTCAGAATAATAGTCGCGCCGACTTTCATGAATGTAGACAGAGCGGTACAGATTGCACCTTGCAAGCGAATTCCACGAAAACGCAAGCTTCGTTGATTTCACAGAAGAGCAAGAGAATTTTTCTTATTCTTGTTATAGAATATATTCTACAATAGAGCGTGCAGTATCACAGGTGTATTGACAAAGATTAATCGCGTTAGCTGTTGCATCGCACGGTTAATCTTCTCTTTCTGTATGCACTTTCAAAATATTATATTTTTAGAACTTTTGTATGCGAACAGTTATACCTTTAAAAAAAGTATATAAGATGTTCGTTTATAAATGCTTCAACCTTTCGTCAGCAATCTAGATTTTTTTTAGCACAAGCAAAATTTTTACAAAAGAGAGTAGAGTCCGTTTCTCCTCTTATCACTAAATTATACATTTTTAAACAAATTTCTATTTTTTCCCTATTTTTATTCAAATTTTAATTTTTATTAAATGATGAAGATTTTAATATTTGAGTTAAAACAGCGTAATCACAGACAAGGGGCTAAACAGTATGTGATATGTTTTGCATGTAGAAATGTGTGCGACAATTATTTCCTTCTTGCCTGTTTTGCAAAAAAGATTTTGCATAATGCAAGACACTATCCAGATCCTCTTACGTCTTACGTATGACAGATGATTCTGATCTGATAAATTACGCGAAACATTTTTCCAGGCATGATGTTGAAGCTGCAGTGGTATGAAGTAACTCGTTGGCAAGAAATCACACAGCAGATTGTATATAAGTCATGTCCGCCGTTGCGAAAGGTGCAGATCCAGTGGAGCAATTGAACGGGATGACCCGCTAGAGACCTCCCCCAGTTGCAAAAGTGCCCTGCAATGTTCCGCAAACATCTCATGTACGTGTTTGCGCAACTTACTTCGTTCCAGATCGGTCAGATCATCAAAGCCGATAATTTTCTATCGTATTTATTTTCTGACCCCTCTTAGAGAGAAGCCAGATCGCTCGAAGCGGGAAAAATCAGGATCTACCGTTGCGCCAGAAACGATTGACGAGTGAATGGTAAAATTTCGAAAGTTACGAAAAAATTTGAGGTAGTGTTGGATCTTTTTTTTTCCGTATTTCTCTTAGTATCGATGTTCATCAATTTCGGCATCAACGAATGTCCAGCATTCGAGTGGATGTCTCCGGACATCGAGATTCCCGCGTCCTACTTAGAAACTTTCACTTATACGTTGGCGTAAGAGGATCCGAATAGCAGCCGGCAGGCTCGATGATGATAAATATAGGATCCATCTGACCGCCCGAGACGGTCAGTGATCTCCGAGCCAAGACGATATTTCACGCTAAGTTATCGCCGTTTCGCTGAGAAACGATATCATTCTTCTAAGCGTATATAATTTCGCACGCGAAAACAATTTATCACTTTTTCGCGCTTCCATGTGGGTGACACGATGATGTCACTAACAATTAACTATTTTTAATGTTTACTCGGTCAACTCTGTGTTTTCCGAAGAAGCTTTCTCTCTTTCTTTGCGCATGCTATAGCTATTCTATTTCTCAATTTTGGTCTTTTTTATTTTTATATTTTATTTTTTACCTTTATATTTTTTTTTATATATTGTTTTTGTAATTTTTCTTATTCTATTGTCTAACTATATGTATTGCTTTTTAGTGTTTGAGGGGATCCGATTCTAAAACGCTTAATAAATAATGATCTCCCTCTCTCTCTTTCTCTCTCTCTTTCTCTTCCTTTCTCTTTCTTAACATGACAAATGTATTGTCACATAACCATCCAACTTTCCTTTCATTATAAAGTTAATTACTTAATTTTCGAGGTTAAATAATTTCACTCAACTCAATCGTGAAATTTAAATTTCCGTTGAGGAAGCTGTTCAGAATAAAGCAAGACCGAAAAGCAAGATCTCGACTTTGTCGAGTTTCTCATCCTATACAAAGTAAATAAACGTAATTAAAATAATCAACTGTTTTATTTGTCTAAACATCGAGATCACCTATCAATTCACGATATCCTGTCGATGTTAATCGCAGGAAATGTTGTACAACAAATACTAAATGTCTGCTTAGGAAAACTGTTGCGTGTAGAAACGACACTTTCTAATCGGTTTACAAGACGACCACTACAATTACGCTTATCTAATTAAATCAGCTTTTTTTTTCGAGATCAGTTCTAGTAAAAATTTTACGGCGCTTCGTTATTGCATATTTTATTTCTTGCGTGTTACATGCGTGTTTCATATTATGTTACATCGCTATTACATCTCGCTATCGAGCTTATTCACGCGGAGCGTGGAAACTCCCTCGGAACTGGAAAACGATGCCTCTGTCGCACAGTCTTTGCGATTGCGAGACCAATCTTTGTAACTGCGATGGCAAAAGATTGTGAATTTGATTCTCCCAGTTCTCATGAAGGATACGGATCCTCTTACACGAGCACTAACGATATACAGTTCTTCGAGAGCAGTCCGCTCATGAGCAATAACGTAACTGTTGAAGAGTGAAAGTGCCCGTAAAGTGGGACGCTGCGGGAATAACGCTCGCTCTTATAATTAATAAACAAAGCCTACAAACGGTTCTCATCGTCTATGAGATTGTGCATTCTACGCGACATTTCTTTAAGACCTTGTCGAGTGTCGTTATCCATGCTAGGTTGATGATCGAGACCTTTCTCACGTTCGCTTTTTCCATAGGAATCTCGGGCGATGATTATAAAATAAACCTAACGATGAAATTATGAAAACTTATAAAGTTTAAGTTACGATTAGAAGTTAATAAACGGATAAATACACGGAAAGAACAGTTTTGCTAAAGTATTTAAAAATTTAGCTAGATATATATATATAGATCGAAAGATAATTTTGTTTGGATCATCAAAATAATTATGTAGGACCCTTAAATTGCTAACATTTATGTAATTATTATGTATTTTATATAATTTTGATAGTCCAACAAATTTATTTTCAGATCTATATCTATAGGAAAACTTTTCAATTATTTTTATATATTTCTGCATCCGTTTATCCTTCTAGAATATTTTTTAAAAACATTAAAATCGCTTTGTTAAAAATAAAAATACAACATATTTATTTTTTACTAAAAATTTTAAAACGGATTTTAGAAAAAAAAATAAAATCAGAAAAATAATACAGAGATTAAGATTAGATTTTAAGTAGATTAAAAGTAATGGCAAGAGATCAAGATTAGACCTTTTAACAATTTTGTGTTGTAATTCGATTATTTGTTTCTGATTTCTTTTTATTTTTTCATTTTATTCTAACTGCACGTATTTGCGATAATCCGATTACCAAATACGCGGATTAAATTATTGACCTGTGATGACCTTAATTCACAAGGCAGAAAATTCTCACTCATGTTTTTCAACGTGAGAAGAATCTTTCATAAGCTACAAAAGTGTTACACGCTATAAGCGTTAATCCGAGTCTTAACTAATTAAAGAATGGAGCCAACCGAAACTGACACGCGATGTAATGCGCCCATAAGTTACATGGTGACTTTTATTCCCAGCGAGATTTACGGAATGATAAAGGTTGTGGTTTTTTATAATTAAAATCTAAAATGCCAGCTGCCATCCGTAGAGGAGAAGTTTTAACGCCACTCTCTCAGGTCATCCGCGGGTATCGACTGTATCGGCGGAAAATGCATAACTGCATTATATAATTACATACTGTGGGCCGTATCAGACGAAAAATTGCCGGTAATTGATGTTACACCCGAGGCACTTTCTATTTCAAGTGTAGTGGATTTCTCACTTCGCGCCTATCGCAATCGGCGCGAATCGGTCCTGTGTCGGAAAAGGAAAAACTCGCTCTCCATTATATTTTCCAATCAATTAAAAATGTCGGCTGGCAGCTTTTCCGAGCGGCGCGGGCGTTATCACGGTCAATTTAATAAATCATAAAGAAGCGTGAATAATAATAAGTATTAACTTTCTCCTCGGCTAAATCACTCGTGCTACCACTGACGTGCGTACGTCGGCGAAGACCCGCAGTCTCGGGTCTGTAAAGAGCAAACGGTCATTTGTTTGTTACTTTTACGAGATTAAAATGAACCGGAGGATGATCGTGCACTAGAATTTATAAATACCATAACGTAAAATTCTCGCATACACGTGCTACACTTTCCATTTCATTCGCAATAAATCAGTCGTCTCTCACATGTGCATTCGCACGTGTGAGTACACGGTGCACAACGCGTGACTTTCTAATAATTTCCGATAATAATAGATCAAAAAGGAAAATATATATGTATATAAAATTGCGAATTTCAACGCAGCCTGAACAGAAAGTTAAATAACCTTTAGACCCAGTTCAACTAATGTAGAATTAATTTTAATCTCGGTTTTATTTTTCCCTTTATCTTTTTCTAATTTTAAGAATTACTAATTCCAAGGTCCAGTTTCACAGCTCACTCTTAACCGAGGTTCAATTTATTTCTCATCTCTTTCCAACAGGCCTAAGAATTAGAAAAAGATAAACGGTGAGATGAAACTCTGATTAAAAATTGATGGAACTAGGTCTTATTTGTTTCTATCAATGACTACATTTACACGGCATGAAAGAAGAACTTAAACTTATGATCTAAAGGCAGATTTATTTCTCATATTATTTGTTTATCCAGCTAGACTAATGATGCTTTTTTTACATCATTTAGGCTCAGTTCCGCCAATGAAGAATTAAAAAAAAAAGATAAAGAGTAAATCGAGATTAAAGTTAACGTACATACTTAAACCTCTGTTACACGACACGCTTAATCGGATTTAATAATATCCATAAACTGGCTAATCACAGTAGTTCCATTCTTCCGAGGAACAGCTATGATTGGCCAATTTTATAACTACGGATGTTATTAAACCCAATTAAGCGTGTCGTGTTACAGAGATCTAAGTATGTACGTTAACTTTAATCTCGATTTACTCTCTTTATCTTTTTTTTTTAATTCTTTATTGGTGGAACTGGGCCTAAATGATATAAAAAAAGCATCATTAGTCTAGCTGAATAAATAAATAACATGAGAAATAAATCTGCCTTTAGATCATAAGTTTAAGTTCTTAATAATATAGTAAAGGTATAATCGCCTATATCACACGGAGTAATGCGAGCTATTCGTCCATCTCGACACAACAATGGCCGCCCCCGTAGTTACGTGTACATGCAGAACCTGCTCGAAGGCTCGCGTAACACTCGAGAGAATCTTCAACGTGTTAGATACATACGGCTGGTTGTTAGACTCGTATGTCGTGGTACGTAATTCAGTAATGATAGCTTTAGCATCGCAGCATTCTGGAGCGTTTCTTGAACTGCATTTCTCCCTTTCTCAGCCTAATTGCATACATGTGTTGACGTGTCATTGTAAATACACCTAATATATATTTCACACATCTTTCGTCTGTCATCTTTCACTTTATTTTTTGAGAACAGCATATTGACCTCGAATCGTATTGTAGGATTTCTTCCAAGAGCAATTGTGGAAGAGACTGCCGAACAGCTGGAAGACCACTTTGCAAACCGTGTCGCCCGACGAATTCGGAAAGTGGTTAGCTGGCGACATCTCGTGGTAAGCACGTGCTTCACATAGGTCGGTAAGCGCGAGAAATCATTTTACCAATTGACTTCAAATTGATTCGAATCATGTTCATTTTTTTGTCCATTTCTGCGAATGTAGATTAATTTTAATCTTTGTTTAATTTAACTCTTTATCTTTTTTTAATTCTTAGAACTAGGAAAAGATGAAAAGTAAATTTAACGAAGATTAAAGTTAATCTACATTGGTTAAAATACGGGCATATGCAAATTAACTTTGATCTCGGTTTAATTCACTCTTCATCTTTTCCTAATGTCCATTTCTACCGTAGATTAACTTTAATCTCGGCTTTACTTATTTTTTATGTTTTTCTAATTTTTTAGAACTAGGAAAAAATAGGAAGTAAGTTAAACCGAGATTAAAGTTAATCTGAATTGATAGAAATTAATGAACATAATTCATATATTTCTCAGAATTAGAAAGCAACAAAAAGTAAGTTAAACCGAGATTAAAGGTGAGATTTGTGACAATTTTAATTATTATCCTTTTCATAGTACAACATGTTTGTTGCAACATTTGCAATATTATTGTAATTATTGGAACGTTGCAATGTTTCGATAATATTACTAGAATGTTTTATACTGGATATAAAAACGAATCTGCAAATACATCTCTAATTCAAATATAATTAACACGAATGAGAAGCGTACCATATTTTTGTGAGCTCTCTGTTTATAATTTTACAATGTATTTCGTTTTACAGTTCACGCGTATGGCCATTGTCGTTGCTGACACTTCGACAGGTTGCAAAGAATTTGCAACTAAATAGAGATCATCAAAATGATAAAAACGTCTGGCGATGCAATGGAAGAAAAAATATTGAAAAGAATTCGGAAAATTTTGTCCTGGAACGTAAAAATGAAGGATTACATGATTCCCAGAAAAAACATAATCTCTTTTTGAAACACGTTAAAATAAAAAAACGCCATGAGATACAACAGATAGCGCAGGTATATAGCTACACATATTTTTCAGTTCTTAGCGGAAATTAAATCATTATAACATCAAAATAATGTCAAAATGGTTTTAAAATTATTATTAAGTTATTTTTCAGTCAGTTGATTTATATTGACGTTATTTTGCTTGGGATTGCTTTAAATTAGACGCGAAATATTTATAGATCCTAAGAGATTTATCTTTATAAGAGGTTTATCTTTACTCAGGTATGCGCAGACTGTGCACAAGAGTCCAACGCTGAGTGCATTGTAGATGTTGGAGCAGGCGTGGGTCATTTAGCCAGATCTCTAGCATTTAAATACGATCTACATGTAATGTGTATCGAACAAGACGCATTATTGTCACAGCAAGCCAGGTAATCCGCATTTTTTTTTACTCTAATCAATCTCGCTGTTTTAATTACTATCCAGAATATAAACTGAACAAGGAAACATAGCATTACTTCGCTGTTATAATTTCTTACTTACCAGTGTAACTGATATTATGTATACGTTATATATTACATTTATATCATATTATACTTATATCGCTGAATAAGAAAGAATAATATTGATATAATATTACTTTCAGATTGTTGTTCTGCGGATAGCAATCTTATTATTCCTTTACTATCATTCATCTGAAATTTTAATTACAGAAAATGGGATAAGGAATTGTTAGTGTCTCTATCTAAACATCTACCTAACTTGCCAGTAAATATGCCACAACACATTTCAATCAAACTGGAGGATACTGATTCTGATCTGTCAGAAACAATCAAGGACATAAAAAGAACTTTCTCCGATAATTTTAATTTAAATAAAAAGAAATCTGGATTTGGCATTGTGGGACTACATCCATGTGGAGATCTTGCAGCCACGTTACTGAGACTTTACACATCTCAATGTGAGATAAGATTTATTTGTATTGTGGGGTGCTGTTACATGAAGCTGACATTAAAGTACGTTTATCAGATGCACTATAAAATAACGCTTATGAGATTACGATTGTACTAAATAATGTGATGCATTTAGAAATCCAGCGAATGTTTCAAATGGATATCCACTCAGTAAATATCTGTCTTCATTCACAAAACACAAATTGTCCTATACAGCGTTAGAAGTGGCATGTCATGCTATTGAGAGCTACTGTGACAAATTAAAGACTGGGAACTATGAAGATTTAATAGTTAAGTATTGTGTTAAGGACGACTTTGATTGAATATTTCGATTAACTTAATTATTGACTAATTGAACCGGCAAAATTGCTCTAGATAAAATTTCTAATATATAATTCGTTATTCTTAATTTTTTCTTTGGTACATGAAACATAATCCTATTAATTTAATAATTTTATTCGAATTACTTAATAAAATATTGTCGATTAATAGCGTTTTTGACCTAACCGGGTTTGCATCAACGTAGGTTGAATTAATGATGTTTTGTGCTCTCCTATTGGTAACGCCAACCAAGTTAATTTGAGTTTGATCGCCCTAAAGCATCATAAGTTTGATATTCAAACTGCATTTTTTTTTTAGGTGCACGCTTATAGAGCCGCTTTAGAAACCGTTCTAGTAAAACAAAATAGCCAGCTACGTCACACTCAAGTGAGAAACGTCAAAGTGACGAAACCTGTTACGTTTGAACAGTTGAGTAAAATTATGATTATCGATATTCTGTGTATTATTATAGCAATAATCGAATAAGTTTTTTTTAGATATTGCATAGCCGCAACTGCAGATTTCGAGCCAAATCTCCGACCTAAAGATTCAGATTTACAAAATCCGCAAATAAAATGTTATCTAAATCAGTGGCGGCAGATTGTGATATTCGGAGCATTGCGTACAATGATAGCACCATTGGTGGAAACTGTGGTGTTGTTAGACAGATTCCTGTATCTATCCGAAAATAATTTGATTCCTATATTGAAGCCTGTTTTTAATCCCAGATTGTCTCCTCGACATTTTTTATTGTTATCGATGAAAAATACTGAACAATCGCTCTCTTGATTATGTCTGAAAATTTTTATACCTTTTATACCATAATAAAATTTTAAAGATTTAATTAGATCAAATATTATCGTTTTAAATAAAAAATGTTATTTTTTTCTAGCTCTGAGGTAAATCTTTTAAAAATTTTTATGCAATTTAATTAAAGATAATACTCTCTCTTTTTCAAATTCAAATTATTTTCTTGAATGTAACATATATTTTAATAGAAAACTATACATTTGATTTCGTAAATTTAATTTTTTGAAAATTAGACAATTGATGTGCGCTATAGATTCAAAACTGAATATAAAAACTGGATATGCATTTTTACTTTAACATTATAATATTTCATTTTTTATATTAGACAATCAAACAGTTGACACTCTAGATGTAAATTTAAATATGAAAAGTTAAATACGCTTTAATTAAAGATATCGTACAAATTCGGTAAGTAAACTGATTGGATTACATTCGGAAAATGTATCTTATTTGCGCGATACACATTGCAATAGCGCGCATTCCGATATTATCTCTCATGAAAATTCAGTGGATTTGCAAGGTCCAATGGGAGCGAGCGGCACACAACGCGCAAACGAGTGACGGGCCAATCGGAGCGCGATACTCGGCAGCGTTTGGCGCGCACAACGGCAGCTTAATGACGGCCACGCAAAGCGTTCTGTGGCGCCACCGGCAGGGCGCGTCGCAGTAGCCGGTTGCCAGTTCGCACGAACCGTTGACGTCCTCCGGCGAGATCCAGTTTCCTTTAAGCCGCTCTCGCGCGTTTGTCTGTTCTCGTCGCGTCGTGTGTCCTACCGATTATTATTTTCTCCTCCTCCCCCCTTCCCCATCCGCGTGCACGAAGATTGTCGGCACGGTGTTAAAAGGTATATCACGAGCGGTATACATAACACGCTCGTGTCGTCGTCATTGTCGTTGTCGCCGTCGTCATCGCAATCTCGCTATCGCTGTCGCCGTCGTGCAGCGCCGAGTGTCTCGATTCAAACGTATCATCGCCCGGTGTATAACGGAGGATGGCATTCAACGGAGACGGTCCGCACTCCAAGAGGCAGCGGCTCGAGGAATCTGGACACAGGGTGAGTGCGCGCGCCAATCATTATCACGCGTCGAGTCGCGACGCGTCCCGTCCGTCCCGTCCCGTTGCGCCGCGACGCGACGCGACGTCCGACTCCGCGTTCTCATCCGCTCAGCGAGAACGACGAAGCGCGATCCGCTCGCTCGTGAGAAAGCGCGTCGCCATTTATCGGCGTAATGATCGCGGGGGCACGGCGCGCGACGCGCGCGTGTCTCTCGTCTCGGTTTCGCCGCCGCGCCACCGATTACGCGAGGTTTTCGTGGAGAGACGCGCGGGGCGCCATTTACCTTTACCCCGCGAGCTCGACATACGGCGTGAATGCCGTGAACGTATGTACTCCGTGACGCGACGCGCGTCGCCGGCATGCTCGACCGACAGGCCGACTCGCTCGCGTCCGATGAAAGTCGGGCGCGTTCGCTTCGCCCGTCGGATTCCGACAAATCAAATTGCGAGTCCGACGCGAATCGGACGATCGCCGCTCCGCGTTCGGCATTCGGTCGCTCCGCCGAGCGCGAGTATCACAATGCGCCCCTTCCCCTTCCCCCCTCCCGTTCCCTTCCCTCTTTCCCCTCGTTGCGAAAGACGCGGGGTTCGTCCCCGCGTAAAATGTCCGTCAGTCTTTTAAAACCCGCGGGAATTTTATTTACTCGCGGATTACGCCAATGAAAGTTGTTCTTTTTCCAATATCGATACTCAAAGAAAATACACAAAATTCAATAAAAAGTCAAAATGATTTTATTTTAATTCTTAACGTCAAGAAACGGTCAAGTTTTGTAATGAAAAATCATCATTTTGACTTTTATGAGATGAAAATGAAGTCATTTTGACTTTCTCTTGACTTGTGGTGTGTTTTTTGGTTAAATTTGTAAGGATGCGTCATCTTCTTGTCATTATACTTCTTGATCACAAATTATCAATTAAGGTGGCTTTTTGCATTTTTTAAAAATATTCTGTGCGAATTGTAGAATTCTCGTTGAATCGTCTTAATTGTTTAGAACAGCATGAGCAATTTGAATGTGAAAAGGATGCATAGTGACTGCTAATATGTTGCTCCTTTATTTCATTATGACAAACTTAAGTTTCTCAAGAAAAGAAGGAAATTCCTTTTTAACTTGACAGAAAATTATTGACTAATCGAATGATAAAAAATGACATTTGATCATGTTAAGAATATAATATATTCTGCTACAGAAGAATGTAATATAATATATTCTATAATAGATTCTTAACATAATCAAATGTTATTTTTGTCATTTTCATTTCAGATGTTATGTTAGATATAAACAGAGGAATGGCAATCCAATTTCTTGAGTTAAATAAGCTTCTGTTATTTTTAACTTCTATGTATGTCAAAATGTAAACTAATCCATTTCTGTGGCTCGTTTTATAGTAAACAACATCCATATTAACGCATACACTTAACAAATAATAATCTGAATTTTATTCAAATAATATATATATATATATATATTTGAGACATTTTCTTGAGCTGAATTATTGAACTTTATTGTTTTAATTAAATTAACAAATATAAAAATGATTAAAAAGAAATTCGATATAATTTTGATAATGTGAATTTAATAGTGCAACTATTAAAAAATCACTCTTTTTGAGTTATGACAATTTTAATGATATTCTTTTAAATAATATTTTTTAATTTTGACGTTTGGAACAATTTTTTATGAAATTAAGTGCACTTTAATTATTTAGTGAATTTAGAATTAATCAGTGCACTTTTGGCGATTGTTAAGTTAATGTTTACCTGACTTATTTATGTATGTAATTTAGTCATGTTTTTTGAATCGTATCGATGTTGAAATAAAGGAGCGATTTTTCCAACTACTTTTTGTATTGCTTAATTTTTTCAATAAATG